TTTGGCAGCTTCACCGCATTTGTGAAAGAGGATGATTTGCACAGAACATCCTGGAACAGTATACTCTCTGTAGCTTTAATGTTTCAGTTGGTTTTCAAAGCAGAGCGCATGATGCAAGTGAAACCCCTTAGTAGTGCTGTTACTTTTTTTTGCTCTCCTAAGGGAGATACAAGGTTCTCTTCTGTGTAGAGTGATACTGGCAGGATTGCATAGGAGTGTAACATGGAAGGGTTTTCCTGGGTACCATTGGTCCGTTTCGCCAGAAGTCCTACTGTCCCTTTTAACAGCTGTGTTCTTGCTTTGCAGCTAGTGTTGATTTGCATTGCAGCAGAAGTTTCAGTGTTGTCAGAAGTTATTCCAGTTAATGTGGCAATAACTGGTTTATTTATCAACAGTGAAAGTAAACAGTGTTTAACTTGCAATGGCTGGGTGACTTGGCTGACAGAGTGCTATGAACATACTAGGTGAACAGCGTTTGGGGACTGTGTAGTTCACAAACTAGCTTGTGTGACCTCCCATGCTGCTTTGTTGTATGAACAAGGTAACTGTGGGCAAGTCCTAGAAAATTCCTTTTCCTGCCAGGTTCTCACCAACATGTGATTCCCCTCCTTCCCTGCATCCTCTTACTTGGTCTGCTTGCTCTTGGCCTGGTTTTGGGCATTCTTGTATGAAAATCAATGGCTAATGCATTTAATGGAGTTCTTGTAGCTGTGCAGCGGGTATCAAGTTGCAATGCTTTCATGAGGTACACTACAGTATGAAGACTTCACATGGTTATGTGTGTCATCTATTTGGTTTATTTAATAAAGTTTTTCACTAGAACCTGGTGCTAAGTGTCCTGTTGCCTCGTTTATAGGCCTCTGCATACTCTATCCTCAAGATTCTTGTTAGAACCATACTTCTGACTCCCGTAAGATACAACTGTACTGTGTGTATTTTGGGACAAACACTGAGCTGTTAAAACTGACGAACTGATCGAGATGAAGTTGGTTTGTTCTTTCTTTCCTCTTTGAAGTTCGTAACACCAGTTACCCCATCTAAAACTAGATTGTAAGCTCTTGAGCAGGAAGCGTCTTAGCTTGTAAAATTTAGCTTCTGTAAAAAGCCAAGTCTATAGAGTAAAACTGAAACGTGAAGCTAAAGCTGCGTTTCAGTGTAGTACTGTTAGCGGTCATTCAACGTGTGTGTAGCGTTACAGCAGTATCTTATTTGCAGTATGCCCGTACATGAGTGTTCAGCCGTACGTGTCATAAACAATGCTTAGGGTATTGTATTCTAATAAAGTACTAAACTTGTGTTTATTTCTAATGGATGCTTCTCTTGAAAAGCTCTGGATCTAAGAGCAGCTGGCAGCTAATGCTGTTTGTAGTGCCTATGCATGTTGCTACCAGCAGTAATGGGGAAGGTAATCTGTGATTTCCCCAGCACCCAGTGTTTTCCTCTTTACTTACTCAATCTGACCTTTTCTGACCTCTTGCAGATAACCTCTTTTTGTTAATAATATAACAAAAACACAATTTACCTCTCAAATGTTACAGGCTACTTAATAGCATTACCATGGGAACAACATTTTAGTGACAACTCCAAGGTTGGTATTTCCATTTTTTGTTGCTCTATCAACAGCTAAATCTACAATCCTCAGCCTTGCAATTTTCTAGCAGTATAACAAGTCTTACAGTGTTTTCACTGTGCCTACTTCAGAGAGGTATGCTTTTCTCTGTGTTGGTATTCAGTAAGGATGTAGCCCTAATAGCTTTTTCTCTAGACAACTGGCTCCGGAGCAAGTTATGTCTTTGTATGCAATGTAGTTCCTGCTTTGTACACATAGGATTTTGGTTTCTTGAAAGTTACAATCTATTAATAAGAAAGCCAAGATAGACTTCAGTCAGGGGTTCCCCACCTTTTACAACCATTTCAGTTAAAGTTTTCTTTAACAATGCTGATTTCATGAATAGCTCCTCAACTTCTGTACAGTGTCTCCTTTTGGTATATAGGTTGAAAATAACAGGCTAAGGCCATTATATGAAGTGTATTAAAAGTATCTTCAGGAACTCTTTGTCTTGGGAGGAAAGCTTAAAATAAAACCTGCTCTTTCCTTACCTGCTTAGGCTAACATATTTTCGCGTCTTTAAATGACTTGTGAAAGGCATAGCCAAGACTAAGCAATGTTTGAGGTTTTGTTTTGGTTTTTTGTTTTTCTTTAAACATAAGCTAGTCACAGAAAGGGAAGACACTTCAAAAAGTATCAACAGTTTTTAGGTGAAACTTGGTGTGAGTGTACTAATGGGAAAAACAGGACCTTGTTCTGAGTTCTGCCTACAGTTTTGTCTTTTCTGTGGGTAGGTAGCTGAAGGTTTGGGAAAATTACAAGAGTACATCCAGATGTAATGCTCAGCATCTGTGTCATCAGCACTGTTACAACTCACAGTCCACCCAAAATTAATAATTGGAGGTTTTGTAGGGGTATAGCTGCTAGTTGAGTTCTCAGAAATTAAGAATCGTACATAAACTTCTTACAGAAATACAGTCGTGGAGCAGTAGTGAGAGTGGAATTAGCTGAGGGCAGTTTGTGATCCCTTCCGATCTGCAAATTTACAGGTAATGGAATGGGGTTGGGGAAATGGGGTTAGGCCTGATGTCTTCACTGTATATGGATCATCGGGAATATGCTGCCTTCTATTAGGATGCTCCCTGAAAGAGTTCCAACATGCTTCCGTATTTTAAGCATGTGCCAAAATACAACCCTGTGACTGTTAGTAGTTCGGTGTATGCTGTACTTCATTAATAGCTGGCTTTACAGGAGTTTGCAGAGCTCACTACTGGTTCTGGAGGAGTGGGCATCAAGTGGTTTAGCTGTTTTTATTTATTTTTCCTCCCTTCTCTTGTAGAACTGTAGAAACTTGTGTTGCGAGGCCCTAAAACAGAAATACTTTGGTTTCTGGTTTCATCAGTTATGTGCCTAATCTCATATCGATCAGAATTTGTACACATGGGCTGTGAAGTGGACTTAAAGACCTGGTCCTGCAAAGGCTACTTGCATAGATTTTAAAATGCTTATTATGTCATTAAATTGAAAGATGACAATCATGCTGACTCAAACATATACTTTTTTTTTTCCCACAGAACTAGAAATAAAGTTCACAGATCGTGATATGTATCCGTTACCTGTTGTGTGTTTTGGTTGAAGTTCATAAGCCAGTGATTAAAGAAATTCTTTGCAAATACCAGTCAGGACAGATAGGCTTCATGCTGATGCTTAACCAACAGCAAGAGATGTCAGGGCATCACTAATGAAAGTTTCCGCTATGAATTTATTGTATCAATTTCAGGCTATGGCAACACTGATAAATAAAAGAATAGATAAACACATTTATTTAAAGAAGTCTTTTAATATAAAATGCAGAGCAAATTGTTTGAACTGGCTGATTTAATTATCAATAATTCAGTGCATTTTGCACTTTGAGGTGGTGCTCCCTTTTTAGAAAATACCACTTGATGATACCAGTTACTGTAAACAAGTGCAAACAAGCAACATGATTTACATGCTAATGGCATAGTTTATTTCTTCAAAAGGTATAATTTAGCATTTAAACTTGTATTGCATGTATGTGTAGTTTTTATAAAGTGGTGCAAGTGCTTTTTTAACATACTTGACTATAAAGTTGCTACGTTGTAATCATGCCATGACCAATGAGATGATTTTTTTAATACCAGTTTTATGGTTTTGTTTATAAAAGATACAAAAAGTATTTGTTGCTATCTAATTGTTTATATTAGTAATTATTTTAATATCTTAAATACTAGTATACCTCTTAACATTCCTTCCTTTAGGCCGTATTTTTTGCAGACCCTTTTCATGTTGTAAAGTAGAAAAGGATAAGCTGCTGTGCATAAGCACGTGAGTGAATAAAATGTCGTCTTTTTCATAGCACAAATAAATAAATATCAAAACCAAAAGCTCTTCTCTTAATTGAAAGCCACTATCAGAGTGTAACCTCCTTATTACAAGAACAGATAAATAGTAATTTGGTTCAATTTAAGTCACTTTAAAGATTTGGGAAAAATCTTTAAAAAAAAAAAAATTAAATGCATGACATTGAAGATACTTAAAAAACACCAGTTTTAAAGAGCTAAAAAGAAAAACTTTAGTACTTCTCCTTGAGGAAGGTATGCAAATGGGAAAGGAGAAGGTACACAAGTAAATATACCACAGACTAGGAAGCAGAACAGTAAGTCCTTCACCATCGCTCATTTTTATGGAAGAAAGTTGAGAATGATTCAGTTGGAGAGGATGAAGGTAAGACAATGTTGAATCAGATACTAATTACTTTTCAGAATCTATTTGCAGATTGACCATACGAGTTGTAAAATTAATTGGTACATTATGTTTGCTTGGAGCTATGATGGTGAAAGTAGTGAGGAAAAATGCAATAGCCTCCTGGGCCTCTCTCCTCAAAGGAAAAACTAGGAAAAGCAGAACAGTTCTGAACAAATGCAAAGCATGGAATATCTCTTAGGAATATAGAAATCCACAGTGAATTTAAGGTGAAGATGAACTTGAGCTAGCTACAATTTTTCTTTCAGTGCCAAAAATGAATAATAAAATAAGGTCACTTTGTCTATGAAGAATTAAATACTCGAGACTAAAACACAATTTTCTTCCATGTGTAGCTTTGATGTAAAGCTTGCTTTTTCCCCCCCACTGATGTTCTCAAAACTAAACTGAGAGTTTTTCATAGGGAGTTTTACGTAAGTGTTTACTTACACTGATGGCTAGCTCCTTTAATTCCAATTAAACAGATTGCCTCATTCAGAAGTCTCAGTTAGTAGACTTTCTAATAGATCACAGTCGGCTGGATTTGCCAGACCCTTGAACATGCAGTCCCTCCTCAAATGTAGTCTTTTCTGTTTGTACTACTGTAATCAGTCACCTCCAGTCTTCACAGAAATATCCTTATCATACTTCAGGAAAAATAAAACTTAAGTGATCTTCATCCATCTTATTTTTGTTTCTGCTCTTTTTTGTTATCCTGTTTCTGTTCTGGTTTGGCCAAATGTTTGGGTATTATGAGAACACTGCCGTCGCTACTGCAATGAATGATGTATTGGCATGGGTTAACAGGTCTACCCTGGTCATCCCTCAATCTACTGAAAATGTCACGGTACAAGTTGTTTAACTTTTGCTTCATCTGGCTGATTGATCTGCTACACTGGGAATGCTCTTTTTTAAGGCTTTCCTTTTGTGTTTGAAGATTACACACGTCTTCTTCCAAGTTAAGAATTGCATTCAGTTTGCGTTTACGACAATTTTGGGCAGCGACCTTGTTTTTTCCTCTTCGTCTGATGTCACGTAGAAGTGATACCTGAGTATCTGTCAGATGGTTCTTTGCTAGCATGGTGTTGAAAGAGTCAACGGGCATGCTCACAATTTCATCAACTGAAAATGGTATTCTCAGAGCTTTTGCACGGCATTCATCGCTGCTAGCATTTGTATCAGCAGAGTTATGGCACCTATCCTTTACTTCGTTTGGTTTCTTTGTCCATATCTGTTGATGATGCTCCAGAGTGGATGCTGCTTGACTTGGCAGCTGATTACAAGTGGTGGTATGAAGAAACTGCTGAAGTGTGGCTTCTCTAGAACACTCTGAAGCACCTGGATATCCCACATGGCCGTATTTAGTGTGTTCTTGGCAATGGCTATGTGAAGAAGCAGATTTGACATCACTGCTGTACCCAACAGCACCTTCACTGCAGACTGAGTAAGAGGTAGTGCTGCGACTTGAATTCAAAGACAGTTCCAAATCTGAGCCAGGTTCTTCAAAGAGCTGAGAAACTTCCATAGGATCAAAGCCTTCCTCCAAAGCCAAAGCCATGAGTTTAATTTCTTCAAAATTGTCATCATGGGCTGTTAGGTTTCTAATGTCAGCAGCTGAAAAAAGCCCTGTCAAATTGGACCCATGAAGTAGTGATTCTGGATTTGTGGTATTAGAGCTTGACTGAGGAAAAGACTGTTGCCTTTGTAAATGTCTTGTTTCTGAATTTGATTGAGTGGGGTTGTCTGTTCTTAGTACCGTGGCATCATAAGGACTGAAACAGTGGTGAAGTGTCTGGGTCAAACTTATATTGTGGTGCGAGGATGATGGGTCTTGGCCTCTACTAGAAGTCGCAACTTGTATATCTTCCAGTAAACTCACCTAAAAGATGATGGGGGGGGGGGAAGAATGATATCTTTTATAAAATTAATGTCTCTACATCCCTCACCTACACAGTCTCGACCAATTTGGTTGTTAATATTCCACTAGTTGACTTTAATAAAGTCAAAATTGTATACGTTAATCTCTTCTTCTAGCTATCCTGAATACTGTTTCCCATTTGTACAAAGTGTTACCTGTGTTGGCATATGGCAAAAGGAAGCGGGAAGGGTGCAGAAGAAAAGAGACATAAGAGATTGGAGGAGGAGAACTCATGAAGGACAGTTTGGGACTGATGAGCGTTGAGAGATAGAAATGGGACTGTTGGTAAGTCTACATCAAACTGCAGCCTCCATGTTACATCTGATCTGGTCTAAGAAAAGGTCCTTCTACGAGAAGCAGTCCTGACCCTTCCCTAGTAGTGGTATTGATAATCATCCGATTCCAGGGCAAGCTGGTTCAAGGTGTTAAACTGTTAGAAAATTAACTTTGTAGAGAAGATAAATAGCTCACCTGCAGGAGTTAATCAGTGAGAACAAGTGGTGTAAGAAAAGAGGGGAGGACAGGAGCATTGAGATCATGCTGTCACAGTCTCACTACTTTTTTTTCACAGTTTATAAAGCTTTTGGGGCTGTGAGCTGCCACATTTGGCTTAGCTCCTTCTTAACTGAGGTCTATTGCATTCAGATTTCAACTCAACTCATTTACTAATCAGTTTGGAGGAAACAATCCCCCCCAAAACACACCTTCTGTGGATGTCTCTTGACTTTACATTACTACTCAGTTTTTCTTTACAAAAACAAAGCTGCTGTACGATCCCTTAGCCCTGAAGTCCCGACAATAAATGAGTGCTGCAGCAGCATTAAAGCCCATTTTTTGTGGGCCTGGGTTAGAGTTGCTGGGTCCTAGAAGTGCAAAGCCACTGCCCAAGATTATGTCAGGGCACTTGGTGAACGATAGAGTAGTCATAAAATAAACAGATACAAAAAACTTGAGAATGTAAATACATTAAGTAAGAAGCATATGATATGATTCCTCTATAGCTGAGCATCCCTACTGTGGTGAAGGAAAGGGCTTTTCTGACTGCTGTTCATTGAACAGACACTTTCCACAGGGAAGGAATGACGTACCATAAAGACTGGAACATCTTAAGTTCTTTACTATGCTTACTGGGAGCTCAGGTAATAGAAGAAATTCTTGCCTTATTTCTCCTAGGAAGTTACCTTGTGCTGAACCACCTGTAGTCTGTGAGATAGGGCTGGTATTTTCAATTAAGCCCTTCAAAATAAATATTCTTAGCAAGTTAACTATTAAAAAATCCCTCACACTGTAAAGACTTGGTATCTGAAGAAACAAGCAATCCATTTTGAAGAGACAAATTGTCACAAGATGGCAGTGCATTAATAGTCTTAAATAAAATATGCAACCATGTATTGTTATAGCTACATAAAGGCTACAGCCAAATTCCTTTCAAATTATGAAAAGAACAGAGAAAACTAAACTGAGAAACTTCTGAACCTTGTTAGCGTGCAACCCATTACCAAAGCTGAACAAAGAAGGAGGCACTATCCAACCTAGAGATTCCCAAAACCAGGTGCTCCAGAGATAAGCATGAAGTTATATGGAAAACACTAATGAACCTGGAAAGCCCCTGCAATGGGAAGAGTATGTAAGATGTCGTTGGAGTATTGCAAAAAAGGAATGTAGGGAGTAGCTTCATGGTTGATGATTGCAGCTATGAGCCGTGGGAGAGGAGGGAGACTCCAATTTAGGTAACAACTGGTTTTTGTGAAGGTGGGCACCCAGAAAGTAAACAATAGTATCAGAAGCCCAGAAGACAAAGAAAAGAAAACAAAATGAGTTTGCTGCCAATGCTGACTGACCTCATTTGCGGCAAAGATGAGTCTGTTCATCTTGAGGGTAGTATCCTTGTAAGCACTTGACCCAATATTTATGACAACTGTAATCTTTCACCACAAATCCTTAATAGCTGCTAGTGCTTAATAACTCAGTGTTGCTCTAGAGAAACACACCAAGAGCTGCTGTATACATGCAAACTGGCATTATGTTTCAGAAAGGGAATTATTAGTTGAACTAATTAAGTTGTCCAGCTGCTCCATCCAACTTTGAACACCAGGTCACAGGAAAGACAGGACTTTGTAGCTTTCATATCCCAGACAAGTTACTAGGGAAATTTTTTCAAGTAGAGCCAATGACAGCTGCTGCAAAAGGTGGACAGTAGCATCTTTAAGATCTTCAGGTAAGCTTTACTACATTTATTTGCTTATATAGTCCCTGGGGGGGTGGGGGTGGGGTGTGGTTATTAGATAAAACAGAGCAAGTCATTATCCAGTAATCACTGACTGTATTCGAGTCTATTAGCAATACATGTGTTTTCTCATTTACCTCTAGCATGTTTTCCATCTGCGATGATAGAAGCTGTAAATAGCCCTCTAAGGAGAGAAGGGAACCTACATGGTCACGGTTGCTCTGTGACAGAAGAAACAGAAATGCTTTGTAAAGCACAGCTATTTTACATAAAAGGAGGTAAAAATCAAAGTCTAAGAGGAAACAGAGCACAGGTCTGTGAAATACTGCTGCTGACCTCGCCATCAAGTCTTCATCCTGATGGGAAATGTCACATTGCTAGAACGAGCAGAGTAACTCCACAGCAGGAGCATCCCTACTCTGTTCCACAACAGCAGAACTGGGCTTTCCTCCTCTCTGAGGCTGCACCTACCCACCACTGTGGAAAAATCAAGTATTTTTTTCAAAACCTAGCTGCCAGGGCAGTGGTGAACAAAGGGGCTGCCAAGACACCCGGATCTGATGTTCTCAGCTCTCACAAGGTCTCAACAATTCATTCGATTCATTCAATCAAATGCTCTTTTCATTGTAGTTCTCAGAGAGAATAAACCCCAAAGTGCACCCATTTCGGCTTAACGTCATTAAGATTATTTCTCTGCCTTCTAATTACAACACACATGTTAAGATCTGAACAATCCAGTTTCCCAAATGTAATTCTACATCTGAGCATCAAGCTTTACATAAATGGTGAAAGCAGTATAATTTAGCATCCACATCTCCAGTGTTTGTAGGCCAAAAAAAAAAAATCCCTGCCCACAAACACAACACCTTCATGATAGAGAAAATAAAAACAAATTGAAAAATGGTTAGTTGCAAGTGATTTCTGTAAACTTTAGAATATTTCACCTACATAAAATATGCTGGAGGGGTAATTTTTGAGAAGGTGTGCAAGGCCATCATTAACAAAGTATCGTCTGAAGTCACTGTTCCTTTCCTGCCCTTGCAAGGGACACTCCAGATGAAGAGAGGAAATAAAATATTCCTTTCAAAACCATTCACTCCATTTCTTTCACTACTCTTTATCTCAGTGATAAGACCTATATCCTCCCTCACTTCCTCTTCACAGTTTTCCCTTCTTCCATTTTTTTCAGCATTTACTTGATTTATGTCTTCCTCCTCCTCCTTCTCTTGCAGTTCCAGCTGATCATGTCCTTGGTGTAGACAGCAGGTATCCAAAGCTTCCTGAAATGCTTTCAGGTCAACATCCTGAAGAGACAAATAAAACAGGTCTATTGAGCAACACACTGTCAAAATGAATCTTTAAAATGCACTTTTTTCTTTTTCCTACAGCTATAGCATTTCAAATAAAATATACGCTGAACAGTTCATTCACGTGGATGAACTGACTCTGTGTAGACTTCGGAAGCAGAATGAGACCGACGTCAGTTCAGGAGTGCCGACACGGCCTCCTCATTTGGTGCCCAGGCACTGAACCCATCTGTGGTAGAAATGGACATTCATAAACACTGGAAACAAATTCTTCTAAGACAGACACATGACGATGTGCTTTCATGGAAAGTTTGGGCTATCCGTGTTTTTTGGATGTGATTTCACAACAACATATCCAAGCCAGAAATATACTCAGTGATGGAATCTTAAAATAGACAATTATACACAGCCAGTTAGCAAAATCTCCTGGTTCTTCTTTCAGGAAAACCACCATTTGAATGTGCATTGTAATAGCAGCTCTGTTTCCCCATCACTTCCACGTAGTCATTACCTAGTTTTCATTTATCCAAATCATGGTGTTTTTTTTAACCTCCAGCAATGAAACTGTTCTGATTTAGTGATCTCAGAAGCATTTTTCAAGTTATCTTTTATCTGTAGTCATATCAGCAGACTCTTTTTATTTTTATTATAGGGCTGGGGTATTGCTAGGGTAAGAAGGAATCATTGCTAAGGACTTTGCATATTTATATTTAAAAGAGCTTTGAAATTTCAGCTTTTATGGGGCAAGTCCGAGTTACTAAAATGTAAAACTCAGTGGAACGGCAGCCAGAAAACGAAATGGTCATACTGCATTAGTTCCATGTATCCTCAATAAAATGCTATGGCAGGAGCAGAGAAGACAAGCTCTCAACAGCAGCAAATGTAATTGGTTAGTGTTCTGTTCTAAAAATCAAAACAAATTTACTTTACAGGTTTTATATGAAAGAATAAACTATATAAAAACTGCAGTTGTAATAGTCATCAAAATGTGTAAACGTTTTTTTTAAATTATTGCTTCATACAAAACACATTAAAATTAAATGTAAGAAGGTTTAGAAATAGGACTCCAGAGTAAAAAGAAATATAATTTGAAAATAAAGTAATTTTAATTTCATTTTAATTAATTCTATTAAAATTTATTTTTTTAAATTATTGAAAGTAGTTTTATTTTTAACTGATTTTATTTGTTGACTTTCCATTTTTCTGTACTTTCTTTTCAAGGATTGGAAGGGAACTTTAATTTTATAAACAGTCATTTCTAACAACAAATAGATACACAGGGCACTCATCTGTCACTCTGATGTAAGAGATACGTTCCTTCAATGATGCCTAACACAATTTCCAGTTATTAAAAATGATATTCCAATACATTATGCCTTCTTCGTCAGATGCAGTTGGAAATGACCAGATGACTTGTTATTGCCAAATACGAGAAAACAAATTTACTTTTGTAAACACATACACCAAAAAATGGTTTTCCTCTATGCAGTAAAACATCAGGAGAGAGGATTTAGTATATGGGACACCGAGAACATGGTAACTAGCTACTTGCAAACACTTAAATGAGTTCAATGGAGCTACTCACAGGCATGAAGTTAGTCCCATAATTACATGTTTGCAAGATCAGGGCTAGTCTTTAATTTTACAAAGAACCAACCTAATACTTGTCCAATGAATATGATGTGTTATCATCCTGATTAATAAAATTCATCATCATCAAAAGCAAATAAAAGGTCAGGGACAACTGCTATTAAAGACCTTAAGCAGCTCCTCTTGAGCTGAGTGGCCTGGAAAGCTGCTGCTGCTAAGGCAGAGTATTTGGCTCCTGAATAACACAGCAAATTCCTTACCCTACCAACTGATGAAGAGGCAAATCCAGGGAGCAGTTAGAAATGTGATATCTATAATGTGATGCCTCAAAAAAAAAATAACTGTAAGCACTAATTTTGAATACAGACAGTATATGGGTGACAACTCGATGGTTCCTATTAAAATTACCAGGGGTACAAACCTATTCTACTGTCAGGGAAAAAATAACCTTGCGGTGACTTTGTGGAGGGCCCATGGTGTCTCCTGCAGATCATTCGAAACCCTCACAGTTCAACTTGCTTATGGTGGAAAACTGCCTGCAGACAATCCTGGCCTGCTGGAGTCTACGATGGAGATGGTCCTTCCCAGCACGGTCATGAGGGCAACTGAATTTCTGATGTGCCTGATGGGACAGCTCCTTTCTGAAGAGAAACTAAATGGTCCCAAAGCTCGCAGAAATTTGTAAAGGTTGTCATGGCTTCAGTTTCCCCAGGAAGTCAAAGACAACTGAATTTTCAGGTCTTTTCCTGTCAATATATAGAGCTGTTGACCACTAAGGAGATGGGGAATACTTCCAACCATGAATTTTAGGATTTGTCTGGAGCTTGCATTGATTTTTATGTATCTTTTAAGAAAAAAAATAATGTCTTTGACTGTTTTCTCTGGTAAGCCATAGACAGTGTCTCAGTACCCTTAGTTTCCAGGCTGAGAGCCATCAAGTGCACTATAGGATCACACGCCATTTTGTCCTAACGACCCTTTGGCTTGAGAACAGCATGGAGGCCAGAGCCTTCCTCTGATCTTCGCACCAAGCTCCTGCTGATGTGAGCAGAGGTGACAGCGGGGATGGGAGGGAGGCAGGGTCTCACATTTGCAATCATGACTGGTCACTGTAGTTTATCAACTGGATTGTATCATCTCTGCTGAATGAGCTTAATAATGCTGCACCACACAGCTTTGAAGATTAGTCTTACTACCACCGTTTCTTCCTCCAGCAGATGATATTAAAATATACTCATGCCTGCTCACACTGATTATTACTGCAATAAGTTATCCATCCTTTAAAAAAAAACTGTTCTCACCACTACCAGGGCAGTTTCTGGAGAAGCATGGCCTTGTGACCAGCTTTTCACAGCAGTGGTGGTGCAGATACAGCGCATGTAGGATTGCTCACAGCACCAATTTCTACGTACGGGATCATTTCAGTGAAAGACCCTATATGGAAATCATATAACACAACCAGAACCTTTTCCTCTTAATTTCGCAGTTTTGGCTTTTAACAAAAATCCCCTGGATTATGCTGTTAAAGATTTACTCTCTGGCATTACACTTCCCACCAGCTTGTTAGTCTTTCCCAGTGATGAAGAACAGCTGAAAAATACTGCTCAACAACCAAATGCTTCTTTCCATGCCCATGCATCACTTGGAATTGACTGGTGAGCTACTGCTATGGGGAGAATAGGAGGAGTGCCTCCCCAAGAAACAATCATATCATGTTTTAAAACAAGGCATTTCTTTAAAGATAGCTTAATTTTGCAGTCTGAATATAAATCTAATGACAAAAGGTATTAGGTGTAAATACCACATACTCAGTACTGCACTGCCACACCTGGCGTTTCTGTCCTGTTGCTTATTTTGCATTAATGGTAGCAGAATAAACAGTAATTGAGTTATGGTAATACCACTATTAGCCCAAGAGCTAGATCAGGACCAAACGTGATTGGTCTCTGTACAAGAAAAAGATTAATTTTTGCTGGTTGTAGAAGACTTAATATTACCACCAAACCCATTTATTGCAGCAGCCTTTCCAGTTCTACCACTGGAGGGTGTGGAAGTTCACACCTCCCACAGCAGGCTGTTTCCAAACGGTAAACTGCAACCCTACCTGAAGACAACCTTTGATTTGGATGTGGGAGGATTTCTGCACAAGCACAAGGCAGGAGATTTACATTAAAACTCCCATCAAAAAAAAACAACAAAAAAAGATAAACCCAAGTATCTCAAATTCCAGTCTTGCTTCTTCCATTTACTAGTTTCATTTGGGCTAGAGAACAGAGTCTGGGACTAAGTCTGATATACCAAATTATCCAGCAGCTTTGTAGGCTGGAGGGCTGGGCTCTAACCGTGCATCTGCCCTTTCCCTAAGGTACAACTTACCACAGGTCAACTATTGGCTTCAGTTTGTCAGTCTTTGGAACATGAAAAATAGTAATTTATGTCAATAAATTGACATAAATATCTGTTACTTAAGGCGGTCTGAGAATCAATGTGGAGGTGAGAGAAAGTATGACTCTGTGGGTGGCCCGGCCTACGCTTAATTAGAAGGATGCTGCCTGCTCTGGCAGGTTTCCAAAGTTTCTTACCTATGCTAAAAATAGAGCCTTCAGTTTCCAAATAAGTACACCGAAGCATTCATCTCAGCATAAATTGTGCGCACCGTTCATCAAACTATCCCTCCACATATATCCTCCCCCTGCTTCCCACACCCATATATTATTTGGTGTCCATAAAACAACACGTAGGGAGCAGAACCTGTAATGATATCAAAACAAGAACAGATCTACCATGGTGCACTGGACGGGTGAACAAGACTCCTCTCTAAAAGCAGCAGAAAGCATAAGCAAGCTGCTTTCAGCTATTGATGAGCGTGCAGCTGGCAAACAGGGCTAAAACTACACAGCTCAGGGCTACAAGGGCACAGAAATATCTGAACTAGCTCTGGAGTAAGAGAGAGATCTCACGACAGCAGAACAGAGCAGACAGGGTGGTTTACCGGGGTGTACAGACAGCACCGGGAGGAGGGGGGTACCTGTCCCTGGAAAGCTCTGTTTCACGGCAGTCAGACTGATTTATCTCTACAAATACCCCAGTGCTGGAGCAAAGGTATATGACCACCATTATTTGCAAAAGGACATAATTTTTTGTGTTGATTACCCACGTATCCTGTTCACGTGCTGTCTTCTAATTCCTCTACATTACATTCTCTTCATTTTAGTTGTCAAGCTTTAAAACGCTCCATTATTGTCATTAACCTTTGAGGTGTTTTTCTGCAAACTTGTGTCCCTTCTCCTTTATGAACGGCACTTCTCTGTGGAACTGGCCCTCTCCTTGCTACTACCTGAAAAGATGTGGCACAGGCCTGGTGATCTTTGCCACATTTTGAATGATTAAGTAGCATTCCCAGAAAA